TCCTGGCCCTGGGGCGGCCCTGGGGTCCTTGGTGGCCAGCCTGGGAGTCCTGACTCGCCCTTCTCCTGGCCCTGGGGCGGCCCTGGGGTCCTTGGCTGATCAAGGTCGTGGTGCTGGTGCATCTGAGCAGGTCCCCGGGTCATGGCCCAGTGGTCATGGCCTATTTTGGTCAAGGGACTGAAGAGCAGAAGGCTGGTGTCGCTAGCCCTGTGACCTCTGTGAGCCTCAGTGACCTGCCATGACCAAGTTGTCCCCCTCACCCCTGCAGGGACCGTGAGAACATCTGCTTCATCGGCCGCCCGTGGCGCAGCGTGGACGGCCGCCTCAACACGCCGGTGTGCAAGGGCATGATGGAAGCCGTGCTGTTCCACATCATGAGCAAGCCGGGGCTGCCAGAGAGCAGCCTGCTGCAGCACTACCAGGGCGTCCTGCAGCCCGTCGCCGTGCTCGAGCTGGTGCAGGTGCGGGCCGCGGCCAGGTCCTGAAGGAAGGGCTGCCACTCCGGCCTCGGGCACCCCCAGCTCCCTCCTGCAGCAGCAGGGCACCTGGCTCTCCTGTCTTTGCTGCCCCCCCCCCCGCACCTCTGCCCGGGCACAGCTGTCAGTGCCACCCCTGCAGCAAGCATGGTGCCCTAATGGCTCCGGCTTGAAGTGCTGTTCACCTCTCCTGTGTCCCAAGAATGATCTGCTTTAAGACCCAGTCCCCAAACCCATCAGGTAAGTGCCGCTTTGCAGCCGGGCCCCTGCTGTGTCCCCAGGGCCTGGAATCCCTCGGCTGCATCCGGAAGCGTGTGCTGAGGAAACCCACGTCCCCCTCGCTTTTCTCCAAGCCCATGGAGTTGAAGCCCAGGGCTGAGGTGTCCTTGGGCCTGAGTGACAGCACCACAACCTTCTACGAGCCCACGCTGGACTGTACCATCCGGTTGGGCTGTGTCTTCCCGCCCACGGTCAACTGGAACAAGTGGGCCCACTTGTAGGCACGTGTCTGTCCACTGCCCTGCTACCCCATGGACGCACACTCTGCCCACCGGTGCCCCTCACAGTGGTCCATGCCCAGCCAGACCCCTCACCCTGGCCCAGGCCTGTGTCCTGCACTCACTCAGTGGAGCTGCCACAGCCTTTCTAAGCCCAGGCTCAGCTGGGAACCCGGGCTCCGGAGGGCTGGGCCCCAACTTCTGCCTGGGAGCAGAGATGCCCCCAGGCACCCCCTCCCTGGACCTCACTTCTGCCACCTGAGGCTGCTGAGCAGCGCCCTGGGCTGCTACACGGCCCAGACTCCAGCCACCGCAGCAGGTGGCCTGGCTCTCCTAAGTGCCCAGGTGCCGCTGGCATTCAGGGCCTGTGGCAGCCCAGTGTGGAGGCCCCGCAGAGCCGTGGCCCCGGTCCCAGTCCGACCTGAGCAGCCCGGGTGCTGCTCCCCCGCCCCACTGCTGATGCCCGCCCGACAGGAGGATCCCGTAGGTCTTGGTTTGGTTCCTTTAGTCTCCTTCCTTATTATGAGTGAGCCCATTGGCATGTATTTATTTATTTTTTAATTAAAGTGAAGACAGATGCATTTGGTTTTGGTTTTGGTTTTGCGTTTTCTGCAGTTGCCCCTGGGAGTCTTGCTGCGCCCGCTGGAGCAACCAGGAGCAGGGCCACACCTAGGAAAGCAGGGGAAGGGGAAGCGGATCGTACACCTGAGGCCATCTGGGCTCTGCTGCCCTGGGGGGTGGGCGGCAGTAGGTGGGATGGGGTGACCCCGCCCCTCTGCCTCAGCTTCAGGGACCCCACGCTGGCCCAGGTTGGCCCCTCACAGGCACAGGCGGCAGGGCTGAGCGTCCCACCAAGCCTGCAGGGGGACATACCCTGGTCTTGAAGTCTCTGAGGCCAAGTACATGCAAGTTACTGGAACCAGACTGAACTCGGGCCCTTGCACTTGCCAGGGAAGAGCCCATTCCACTGAGCCATCTCCCCGCCCGCCCCCTTACCGACCTTTTAAAGATGTGTTGTTCTTGGGGGGGCCAGATAGCTGGGGGGAGGGTTAGGAGCCCCCACTCCCTGGGGTGCACTGAGGATGATTGAGACGGCATGGTACGCACCTGTAATCCCACCACTTGGGAGGCTGAAAACAGGAAGGATCACTATGAGTCCGATCTGTGCAGTCAGACCCTGTAAACCCTAAAAAATAAAAATAAAGATGTGTCCTCACCTGTAAAAAAAATTTAGGCCCTGAGTTGAAAGACATGGCATGTAGCAGTGGGGGACCTGCCCTCCACATGCCTGCGACAGCCGGTGGTGGGTGCGGAGAGCCTCCCCCCGCGTCACCAGGTCCACCCCACCCCATCCCCGCCCCCTGAAGGGCTTGTGCCTGGAGATGCTGGCATGAACTGGGCGCTGTGCACTCCAGCTGTACATACAAAAAATACGTGTGTAGGCTTTTTGACAGCAGGTAAAAATAACAGGCGTGACCTGCGACAGCCAAACTGATGACCGTTACTTGCGTGGGGAAAAAGAAGGGAAGGTTTGGGGGTCTGGCAACCTGCACACCGCCCTGTCCTCCAAGACGGTACCAGTCAGGAGCTTCCTGGAAGCCACCTTCAGGGCCGGCCCAGGAGGGAGCGGAGGCAGGGACAGGACTCAGGCTCGGTGTCCGGGAGGCGCCTGTGAAGAGCTACCCTGGGGCTGTGAAGAACTCCAGGTCCAGAACAGAAACCTCACGCCCAGTCTCAATCCCATGGCACTCTGGGGATTGAACCCTGGTCCCTGCGCCTAAACTGGCACTTTAATCCGCTGAGCTATCTGGCTGGCTGGCCCCGAGAACAGAAACTCTTCAGCACAGAGTACTGAGTAAAACCCAAGAAGGAGCAGAAGCAAGTCTCCTGCCCGCGTGCAGCCTCAGGGCCGCGCTGGGGGCGTTTTCCGGCCCTGCCAGCCTGACAGCTTCACGTTGAGAACCAGAAGGGCCGCTGAGCTGGCCCCCTGCACAAACCCCCGATGTCCTTGGCGTTGTGGCCTCTGTTTCCATGGTCGTCGCTCTTTAAATTGTGTTCCCTTAGATAAGCAACGTGTGAGCCCACGCTCTCACATACTTAAAGTCGTCTGGTTACGGCTAGAGATTTCTTTAGGGCCAGCCCGGAGCACTGGGCTGTGCACACCCCGGGGCGCAGAGCCGTGAGGCGCTGTCGTGCACACACCTGTCCGCGTAGCTCCGGGGCTGAGTCCTGCGTTTATTCGCTTCAGGGTTTGTGGATCCGTGACCAGCTGGCTCGGAGGCAGGGAATGCGAGAGGCAGCCGTTCAAGGCTGCAGGGGCGGCGGTCCTCCTCGCGCCCATGCTCTGTGCCCTAGAGCGGGTGCAGCACCCCTCACCCCCTGCCCTCCTCTTGTGCGTGCTCAGGATGTTTAGAGTCAGGACCGCGGCCCCTGCAGAGTCACTCAGCTAAACTCAAGCCGACAGTGCATGGCATCGACGGCCATCTCAGCCGCCCCTCCCTTCGGGCCCCACCGTGCTGCAGGGACACAGCTCCCCGTGAGGCTCCCCGGGCCCCTCCTCCCTCCCTGCCCCTGCGTTGTGCTCCCCGGCAGCCCTGCACTACCGAGGTCTGGTCCTCCGAGCTCCTTGGCCGCCCGCCTTCCGCTAGGCCTGACTCCGCTCACGATGTGCCTGCGCACACACGAGGCGCGCACACATCGGCCCAAGATCCAACGCAGGCCTTTTTCCACCCCAGGGCCTGAAGCCAGCCCTTCTATGGATGACTTTCACCTTCTGTGATGGTCAGAAGGAGCCATTGCTGTGAGGATTCCTTCCCCCTCGCCCAGTCTGCGGCGGGCTGTTCCCAGGTCAGCGGAGTGGGAGGGCTTCGCCTTCAGCCAGTGCCTGCACTTCCAGGACCTGCCAGCAGGGGGCAGCAGCCGCCTGAGCATCTTTGTTTCCTCATGTTTGCCGGGGGTTAAGCTTGTTTCTAAAGAAAAAAGAAAAACAAAACAATAAAAAAAATTTAAAAAAAAACCAGTCTGAACCCATGTAGTCCTGATGGAATTTTCGGGCTGGGGAGATAGCTCAGTGGAGCAAGTGCTTGACTGGCAGGTGCAAGGTCCTGATTCAATCCCTGGTACCAAAACAAAACAAAACAAAAAACTGAAGCTTGTTCCTCACGGGCTGTGATACCCGGCTGGGGTGGCCGTGGCTCGTCCCTAGAAAAGATGACTGGTAACAGCAGCACTCCCTGAGCGCTCGCAAACTGCCAGGCACCATCTGGGCCCTTCGCACACGGAGCTTAGACTCTCAGCAGCCCCTAGAAGTAGGCATCAGTGAGCTCACCCATGTGCAAGGGGACTGATGCCAGAGGAGAGGAGAAGCAGGGGACAATGAGCTGGAGGCCGGTGTGCGGGACTCCCCACACCCCCAACTGCGGAGGCCCCCCATCCCACCCGTGACACAACTGCCTGGGGTTAGCTCTGGGGTGAGGGGAAGGGGAGAAGTTCTCTTCCCATCTTGGAAGAACCTCAAGCTGTTAGCACTAGGGGTGGGAGAGCCCTGGGCCGGCTGAGGGAGGAGGGGAGCTGGTGTTCGCCTCCAGGCTGGGGCAGTTGGCCGCTGCTCCCTGCTGTCATCCCTTTGTCTGTTTGTTCGTTCATTCTGTACTTTCCAGCTCCTGCTTAGAGCCATGCACCTTTCTCAGCTCTTGGACCCAGCAGCGACCTCAGTCTCTGCTCCAGTGATGCGCATGCTTACGCTGCACACGTGTGAGACGGGCTTTTGGAAATTATTTTAGTTTTCTGCTTCTTGTAGTTTGGGGATTGAAACCCGAGTCTTTGTACCGAGTTACATCCCCAGCACTTTTTATTTTACTTTTTAAAGACAGGGTCTTGCTAAATTGCTCAGGCTGGGGTTGAACTTGAAATCCTTCTGCCTCAGCCTCCCAGAACGCTGGGATTACAGAGATGTACCACCACACCCACCTGAGGTAGACGTTATGAATTCTGTGCAGGGTCTCACTATGTATCTCGAATGAGTTGTAGTGATCCTCCTGTCTTCAGCCCTCCCAGCGCTGGGGTTGCAGGCGTGTATCATCACTCCCAGTCTCAGTGGGCAGCTCAGCATGCTGGTCCCTGCACTTGCACAAGGTGCTTAGTCCACTGAGCTACCTCGTCGGCCCAAGAGAGATGTTAATAGATACAGTAGGAGTGATAGGGAGGAGCCAGCCAAGTAGGTCCCCTGAGAAGGTGACAGCTGGACCAAGACTGGCCCTCATGTTCTCACTCCTCCCTGTTCAGGTTCTTGTTTCCTGTTCCCTCGCCATCCACAGAGCTCTGGAGCTCCCAAGGGAGGGCGCCCAGCTCCCTGCCCCAGAGCCCAGACACTCTCGTCCCAGGTGTTGGCAATGTGTCCAGGGCTGGATGGGTTGTGAAGGGCTTCGCTGTGCCCTGGCCTTGTCACCCGCAGCCAGGATAGGCAGGGGCCAAGGTTTGCCCTGCTACGGGGAGGTCCAGGGAGTGGGGCAAAAGTGCAGTGCAGGTAGGGGGCACCTAAGCCCCATTTGCGGGGTGAGGCATAGGGCTGGTCTGAGCTCCATCCTCTGCCTCTATTCCACCAGAGCACCCCCGAAACCCCAGGCAGCACCCTGGCTGGGACCCTGCAGAAACTGCTCTGGGGCAGGTCTGATCCTGGCTGAGGGCGTCGTGAGCATTGTGCCTCCTAGACTTGAGGGCTGGGAGAGGAGCTGGGCCGGGACAGAAAGAAGCAAGTGCACACCTGAGGACGAGGGGAGGGCTGCAGCACCTCTTCCTGAGACAGCCAAAGGCTCACTCTTGGTCCTGCTCAAAGCAGGAAGCAGAGGGCTCTAACACGGCGAGCCTCCATGGCACTTGGACAGCTGCAGGAGCTTGGCACCCGGCCCCGTGGGAACTTTATTTTCAGTGTTGAGGGTGGGGCATGTGCTAGGCAAGGGCTCAAATGACACCATCAGCTCCTCGGGCCCCTCTGGGTGTGCTGCTTTAGGACATAAGTGACGCTATCAGGGCAACACTACTGCCAGGACAGCAGCCTGCCCCAGGCCCACACTAGCACGGAAGTGAGATGGCTCGGCCGGTGGCCAGGTCAGGACCACCTGGGGCCGGCTGCGTGCTGCTCACAAGCAGCCCCATCTTGGCAGCTGCGAGTGTCAGAGGACATATCGGTGACCCCCAGAACACGTCCACCAGGGCGCTCCTCACACTAAGGCCCTGGCTATTGCAGTAGCCACCATTGCCGTCACCACTGGTCGCCACAACAGGAGGACACCCTAGGGGACACTGCGGCTGCAGTGTCATAGTTCATCCGAAGGTCCGGTGCTGTGGCCTCGTCTGACCGGAAGGAGCCAGGAGGTGAAGCCCTGGTATGGCCTAGCCGGCCACAAGTTGGAACAATCTGGTGAAAAACATAATGACTCCCATACTCCGGTGGCTCAGCAGTCCAGGGGCTGTGTGGGTTTCAGGTATGGTTGGATCCAGTAGTTCCAGGAATGTACAGGAAGACTCTTTCCCTTGTGTCTGGTCTTAGTGTGTTGCCTGCTCTCTCCTGGTGGTCCCCAGCAGCTGCAAGCTCTGTCCTTACAGAGAGACAAGCAGTGTGGGTCGTGTGTATCCTGGGGGTGTGCTCTGGCTGGGACGCTGGAATGTGCTGGTGGTCGGCTCTGGGTCACCGAGGCACTTCCTAGCGGGACGGGTCAGCGCATACTGCTCTGGGTCCTGGCTGGAAACCAGCTGCAGTAGAGGCATTTACACCGGGAAAATAAGCAAACGCTACAGATCAGGCTTTATTGTGGTCCTACTGTGTGCCCAGCTGGGGGATACAGCTGTAGACAAGACAAAGTCACCATGCTGGGTCTCTGGCTTTGTTCCCAGCACCTGCTCCTCTGGTTCTGCATCCAGCCCCTCTTCCTCCAAGCCTCTGTCCAGCCTCCCGCATGCACCACCAGTCCTCCATCCTGCACCTGCGCAGGACCCAGCCCCCCTGTAGGTCCCCCGCTGGCCGCCTACCCTCTGCTCCACATTCACACGAGCCAGCTGGCAACATCTACACCAGAGATGAGGCCGGCAGGCGGTGTGTCCTCCCCAGGGGCCCTAGGTCTGCACTCCACATGCTGGGGGTGTGAGCTGGTCCCGGGGGAGCCTGGGGCTCAGGTGCTGCCTGCACCCTGCTGCTCCTAAGAGGTGTGAAATCCACCACACCCTGCACCCCGCTGTCTCTAAGCTGCAGGGAGGGGGAGGGCCAGCCTGCACGTGCAGGAGCTACGGTTTCCCCCTCGGGTGTCCACCAAAGCCTCACACCCCATGTTCCATCAACAGCCTGCTATTAGACCCAGTGGTGTTCTAGAACCTTCTAGCCACATGCCCTCACCCAGGGACCTCTCTGAGATACCCCCCAAGGCAGGCACAGACTGCCTCTGGGTCAGACCTTTCCCAGGAAACCTGCTGAGTGCAAGCTGGGACTGGGCTTCTCACAGGTCCTGCAAAACCCCAAGTCACTTCTAGGGGGCATCCATAGAGGAAAGGCAGCCTAGCTCTTTAAACCAGGAGTTATGTATGTCATGCCTGGCCCACACAGGCAGCTCCTGAGCTACCCCAACACTCAGTGAGGTGCTTAGAAGCATCCGCTTCTTAATTCACATTTCAACAGGCTCCCTGCGAAGCCCCTGGCAAGCAACTCAGGGTGAATAAATAAGGTGCCAGGGCTGAGCAGGGTATGGGCCCGGGGATACCAGACGTCACTCCTGCCAGTGTCTCTGTGCCCCCTACCCACTCTGAGTGCCACAGGGGAGGGTCCTTCGGGTGCTGAGCTAGGGGCACAGTGCCTGGCATGTGCTTGATAAATAGTTCTTGGGTGTGTAAGGGGATTTTTAAAGAATGGGTGGGAGAAGCCAGAAAAAGACATCTTGGTTGGTGGGGGCTGTTTCTGAGACAAGGCCCAGTGGCTTTCTGCCTGGAAAGCCCCTTGGCCTGCTGAGCGGTAGCCCCGGGCGCCGGCTGCTCTCACCCCTCCCACCACGGCTGCAGCCGGCCGGCCACAGGCACAGGAAGCTGCTCCGCCAGCGCCTGGCGCTGACCTGTGCTCCCCGAGCGAGCGAGGCGGGCTCTGTTGCTCGCCCAGCCCAGATGCACAGACGAGGAGCAGCAGAGCCGGCACTCAGGCCTGGAGCCTTGTCACTCCCCGGGTTCCCTTGGCCTCACTCCGTCCCCTCCTCTTCCTGAGAGATGGCAGGAGCAGCCTGGATTTCTTTGGCTCCTTGTGGTGGGACCCTGGGGTGGCGGAGGCTGACAGTGACGCCTGTCCCCAATGATGTTCAAGCCCAGCAGTCTGCTCTGGTGTGGCAGGGGAGGGGGAGGCTGGGGTCTGCGTCCCCCAGGCTCTCCAGCCACCCACACCCATGGCACGGGAGCAGACACAGGTGTGGCTGGTGACACCATGACTCTTGCACATGTCCACAGACATAAACACTGTAAACACTGGGCCAGAGGCCACAACTGCGGCCTCTTCCTGTCACCACCCAGGTGGCCCTGTCTCTGTGCCCTGACACTGGGCTTGCCATGGCCCAGGGACACGGCCAGCCCTGGACAGCCGGGCCACGTCTCTAGCTGGCCTGCGGCTTGGGGCCCTCAGGCGGAGGCTCTACGATCACCCATTGGCGGAGGTAGCTCCGGGGAGGCCCCTCGTCCTGGCTGGGGCTAGCAAAGTCACACTCCAGGGGGCTGCCGCAGTCCGAGCCCGCAAAGCCGCTATCGAGTGTGTCCATGTCCAGGCTGGCGGGGGGTGAGCCCACCTCGCTCTCAGAGACCTCGCCAGGGGACACCCCACCCCAGGGCAGCCCCATGGCCCAGTCCTCATCTGCAGGGGGCAGCTTCAGCCTGTCCAGCAGGCTGCCCAACAGCCAGCCTGGCCCAGGGCCCCCTGCCGAGACGCAGCCACAGGACAGAACCGTGGTCCCGGTGTTCAGGAGCGGGTCCTCCAAGCTGGGGCCAGACTCCGGGCCAGTGTCCAGGTCCAAGGCTGGGTAGCCATCGTTCCCACAGCTGCAAGGCTGCGGGTATGGTTCCTCCGCCACCTTCACTGTGTCGATGGACAACAGGCCGTACGGTCGGTCCTTCTCACCGCAGTCAGAGCCGCATGGACTGCTGGCTACGGAGGAAGCCCCGGGCTCCGGTGTCCCGTCAGTCTCCAGCAGATCTGTGGGGCCCGGCAGCTCCAAGGCCTCCAGCCCCTTGGCGAGACTCCGGGATGGGCGGTAGTCAGGTACCTCCAGGAGGGAGGGTGCTGCAGGGCTCCAGGGTCCCAGCTGCAGGCTGGAGGCCGTGAAGGGGGCGCCCACCCACTTCTGTGAGAGAGAAGGGAACAGTGTCATGAGGGGGCTGGGCAGAGGCTGGGGTGCAGACACTCAAAAGCAACAAGCAGAGCTGCACGTGGTGGTGATGCCTGTAGTCCCAGCACTCGGGAGGCTGAGGCAGGAGGATCCTTGTGAGTTTGAGCCCAGCCTGGGCTACAGAGTGAGCTCAAGGTCAGCCTGAATTGTATAGTGAAACCTTGTCTCAAAAAGACAAAAAAAAAAAGCAAACTGAGATAGGATAGCCAGGAAGAGAAGGAACCAGGCATGCGGGAGAAAGAGACAGAGAAGAGGAGTGTGAGGGCCACCAGGTCCTGGTCATTTCTCTCCCCCCTCTGGGCCTCGGTGTCCCCCCAGCACTGGAGAGCTCCACTCACATTTGCCTGCTCATCCAGCCTGTGTCCCCTGCTGCCTGCAGGGAGCAGGGGAAAGAGTCCCGAGGCCCAGGGACACAGGCAGGGGGAGCTAGGGTCTGGCCCTGGAGCCCTGCCTGCCCCTTGTTTCCTGTCTTGCTCGCCAGCTCTCTGTCCCAGGAGAGGGGACAGCCAGCTCCAGTAGGTGGACTATAAATGCTATTGGCTGAATGCATGCCTTGGGTGGGCCAAACGCCAGGGCCCCAAGGAGGGCCTTTCGGGGGGCGCTGGACTGAGACGGTGGCCCTTGCTCCCCTCTCTGCTCACCTGCTGACATCAGGGTCTCCCTCCCATCTGACAGGCAGCCTGTCCCTGGGGACGGGGGTCTCAGGAGAAAGGCTCATCTCAGAGATATGATGGCCACCACCCCGAGGTAAGGTCACTGCTCAGCTGCGAGGCCTTGCACAAGCTCCTCTCCCTCTCTCTCCTCAGTTTCCTCATCTATACAACAGATCCGCCCCAGGGGTGCTGAGAGGACTAAGTGGTTGCTGTGGGTGAGGCTCCTACGGGGGCCTGGACACGACAGAAACCCAGTGTGACATCCAAGCTTCCGGGAGGAGGAAAAGGCATCGGGTTGGAGTTCATATCCTTCCCTGCCCTGCAGAAGCCGGTGTCCCCCTCAGTGTCAGTCTCTGCTTGGGGGCATGATTGGGGTGGTGTCTGGGGGCTGCAGGGCAGAGCGCAGGGCACACAGCAGGAGCCCAGTGAGTGCAGCCACCCTCCCTTCCGCCGCTGCCACATCCTCTCCCCTCCACTCTGCAGTGACGGGCAAGGCCCTGACGCGGTGGCGGAGGGCAGGGATCTCGTGCTTGGCAGGTAGGTGTTTGTCATAACTTGCAGGCAGCCAGGTCCTCTGCAGAATGCCTTCCTATTCTCCCTCCCCATCCCAGAGCAATGACAGATGTGGAGGAAAAGCCCAGGGGGCCAGGCTGTGCCACCCCTCTGGCAGGCTGGCTGGAAGCATTAAAGCCTGGCATCAGTCTACACTCCGTAGGTGGGGAAACTGAGGCCTGGCTGGGGCCTAGGGGGAGTGTGAGGCGGGGCTCCTAGGGAGGGCAGGGTGCCTACCTTGAAGTCTCCTTTGTGGCCCTCATACAGGGGCTGGAAGAACCTCTCCGGGCTGGGCACCGGTGCCCACACTTCCTTCCACAGCCTAGGGGATGGGGTTGGGTCAGCCCCTGCCGGCAGCCAGGGGCGCATGCCTCCCTCTTTGACGATACATCCTTTGCCCTGCAGGATGCTCAGCACCTACCAGGACACAGCCTAGCACCTCTGTGCCCAGCCTGGGCCTCAGTTACCACATCCATAAAATGGGAGAGCACCTGTCTCTCAGGTGCCTGAGAAGCATCAGGATCGGGGTGGGCCTACTGCATGCCACTTCTTGCTCTGAGCCGGAGATGGGCAGAGCCAACTCGGCAGGGCTGGGGAGACCCTGCAACCAGCACCCGGCGCCCGGCACTCAGCCTGGCACGGCGCTCAGCCAGAGCTGCTACCTACTGCCGGCATCTTAATCTCCCCCTTCCCCGTTCTCTGTCTGACCTCAGCATCTAGCAGAACGAGCTGCACATGGACCTCTGCCGCCCACGGAGGGCTCAGCAGACAGCGGCTGGCCGGGGAGGACGGCAAGCAGAGATCGGCAGGCTTGCTGACAGATGGGAGGGAGATCATCGCACCAGCCCCCCCCCCCCCCCCCCCCGCACCCCAGCTGGAGGCTCTGGTGCCTCGCCAGACTACAGGCTCCTCCCGTTCTGAGCTGTGTGACTCTGGGCGACTGCTCTGTGCTTTGGTTTCCCCATGTAAAGGTATACCACGCTCCTGGGGCTGCGGGGAGTGCCCTGAATGCAGTATACATGAGGCGGTTGCTCGTCCCCACTGTCCCCATGACAGGCGTGTCCCCCACCCGGGGAAGGGTCCTGACCAACCCTGCTCTACTTCCCTGGCCCCCTGACCTCACCTCCAAGGCAGGCGGATCTTCAGGCCCGCGAAGACAATGGCCGGGGGAAGCAAGACCACCAAGGACAGGAGCAGGAGCAGCAGGCGGCTGTCCCAGCCTGCCTCAGACTCTGCAGAGACAGCAAAGAGTGTCCAACAGGAGCCCCTGTCCTGAGCCACATGGGGTGCATATGGAGCAAGGGGGCAGGGGAGACACTGCAGGGACCGTGGGCAGAGAGGGATCTGGGTTCAGATCCCACTCCTGCTCTTGGATTTAAAAAAAAAAAATTTATATGGTACAGAGTCTCACTACACAGTTCGGACTAGTGATCCTCCTGTCTCAGCCTCTTTAGTGTTGTGATCACAGGCATTTGCCACCATACATGGTTTTGGCAGCCAGTATGGCATGAGGTACCAGGGATCGAACCCAGGTCCTTGTGCTTGCCAGGCAGGAGCTTAGACTGCTGAGCTATCTCCCCGTCCCTGTCACTTGGATCTTAAATGGTCCCCAAAGGCCCATGTGTCAGAGGCTGATCCCCAGCCTGCAGGGCTACATCACTGGGATGCCACAAGCCAAAAGCCACGGGGCCCAGAGACCACGCACCGAGACCTCTGTAGCCATGAGTGTAAATTACTCTTCCTTGCTAAGCTGACAATCTCAGGAACTCTGTCACAGTAGTGGACAGCTGGCTAGGATATCTGTTTGCAATTTAGTTTATCCCTCTGTGAAGTGGGAATCCTAGGTAGGAGGGCAAAAGGCCCACTGAGAAGGGACAGCTGACACCGGCAAGTGCCAGAGGCTCTCAGTGCCTGGGGACCAGCCACGCTGCAGGCCACGAGGGGCAGCTGGGTCAGGACAGTATCGGCCCAGATGGGAAGTCCCCTCTGCTGCACACCTACCCTCAGGCTGGGTCTGGAAGATGACAGGGTCGCTCCACTCACTCCACGTCCCCCCGAAGGAGGAGCCGGGCTGAGGTCCCGCCCGTACCTGCAGCTCATAGCTCGCGTTTTTGCGGAACTCTCCGGGGAGAAGGGAAACCCTTCTGGAATCCACTGAGATCAGCTTTGTCACTGGACTCTGCCAGGAGAGGAAGGCGTGGTCATGCAGGCTGGCCCCCTCAGGCCCAGCAGAGAGGCTGCGGGCCCCTTCGCCTCCATAGCTACCAGGCCTGGGAAGCCCTCGGCCTGCCCGTGACACAACCCAGTCACCCACTCTGTCTCAGGGACAGAGAGTGTCCCCGGAGTGCCACAGGCTGGACATTCCAGCGTTGGCGCGACGGCCCCTAGAGGGAACATTTCTGGAAGTTTCCACCGCCACATCTTATCAATGGCTATCTTTGGAAGTCTCCCCTGAGGACATCCTCAGCACCACGTTTATGAAAATCTTCAACTGAGACAGTGAAAGCAAGTAGCTAATCCTAGATCCTTCCAGCTGTCACAGGTCCCTCAAGGCCATTGCAGTCTCTCAGGCCACTGGGCCCTAAAGCAACCGATGCCTCCAGAACCTTCAACTTGGGACAATCGGCCCTCAGACCCAGGACCCTCACGATGACTGTAAATATCCACCGATGGCCTGCTACGTGAGCCCGAAGGGGCCAGAGGGAGGAGGGCGCGGAGACAGAACTGTGTAAGGGTTTCCCACTCAAGGGAGGAGAGGCGGCCGCCGCAGACCCTGGGGCCTCGCCCCGCGCCTCTGCAGCGGCCACAGCCCCTCTCCCTTCTCACCAGCGCCAAGGGGTCGGCCCGGTTCCTGTAGCGAAGCTCGTACTGCAGCTTGCCCCGAAGCGGGTAGAAGACGGGGTCTTCGTAATCAGAGCGCCAGGTGACGACGTAGCGGCCCGAGAAGGTCACCGTCACATTGAAAGGAGGAGCCGGCTTGACTGTGAGGAAAAACCCAGACACGGAAAACAGAGTGAGGCCAAGAGACACACCTGGTGAGGGAGGGGATCAAACGGGCCCGGGACCCCCGGCGTCAGGCCCCTGGCTGCAGGATGCTGGGAGCAGCATCACTGTGGTCTGCCCTGCTCACGGAATGATGGGGCGAGCCAGGCACCGTGGAAGAAGAGGGACCGCCCAGGCTTTCGGGGGACAGCTGGGACTTAGGGGCAGTCAGCCCTGGCTGGAAGGCAGGCACAGGGACCAGGACCTCGTAAGTCTTCCAGGAAAAGAAGGGAAGGAGAAAGGGAGGGAGGGAGGGAGGGAGGATGGAGGGCAGCTTGACGAGACCTAGACACCCAAATTATCGTGTGCAATCTCTCGAGGTTCACCGTCCTCACCACCTAACAGACTTTCTCCGCTATGCCCTGGCCCGCCCATGCACGGTCACTTCCGGTTCTAGAGCACCTGGCGCCCTTTGCTGTGACGCAGTGTCCCTGAGGATGTGTGACTCTTCACTCCCATGTCAGGGCTGCCCGTGGCTGGGGGCCGTCGCCCCCTGTGGTGGCCCTGTGACCGTGGCCTGACTGTCCCCACGCCTGAGACGCCTCTGGCTTGCGTGTGGCCAGCCTCTGGGCCACCACCCCACACTTCTCCGGGCAGCTGTGCCCCCAAATGGCTGTCAAAACTGTGGGCGCCAGTTTCACTCTACTCTGCATTTGCTTGGTGGCCCCAGATGGGACACAGCACGTGCTGGCCGTGATTCCCCTCCCCACGCACCCACCTCTTGGCATGCCACATTTCTGAGCTGAAGCCTCACTGAGAAGATTGAATCTCGGGGGGTGGGTGGGGGTGATAAGGGTTCTGCTGACCACAGACCCTGCGCTCTGCCGCTGTGGTAGGTCTGGGCCATCCACCACCTCACCGGCTCCCTCTGTGACTATTTATTTACCAGCTGCCTGCCCCCTCTCTGGGCTTTGTCCCTTAGGGCAGGGGCTTTGCCCTCCTGGTCTAATCTGTGCTTCGGCTCCCAGCGCAAATCCTGGCACACAGCATATCCTCAGTCTAGACTTGTCAAGTATTTTTTTTTTTTTTTTTTTGAACTGGGGATTGAACTCAGACCCTTGCACTTGCCAGGGAAGCGCTTGTTCTACTGAGCCATCTCCCCAGCCCTTACACTTGTCTAGTTAACAGATATACCTTTCAGGGCTCCAAAGATAATCTGAACCACTCTAGGGAGGCCAGCTGTGGCCAGAGGGCGAGGCCGCCATGAGTGTTGGTGTCCTGCGTCTGATCTTAGGACTCCCTCTCCTCCAGGTTCCTGCCTGGCCTGGGCTGGGTATGAGGCTCTCAGAAGCACCCAGACACCAGAACGGCCCGTGGGCACTCAGGAGACGTGGGCAGAGGTGCCTGGGCGGGGTGCGTCTCCGCGAGCCTGGGTGCGCAGGAGCCTCACTCACACCTCCTGAGGCGTGGTGCTCACACTGCCCACACCCAGGCGGGGCCCTGAGATCTGGGGAGAGGAGCCCCAAAGCCGTGGAGCCCAGGACATCTGCTGCAGGCTGGGTACGTGTGCAGCCAACGCAGAGGTACTTGTGGGCGCTCACACACAGACTGTAAGCTCCACAGTGTAAAGACACCCAGACACACACCCAGACTCATCGATACACACAGACATGTGGATACACACAGGCAACAAGTACATACTCACAAGAATACCGCATAGAGATACACACACACACACACACACACACTGAAGCCCCCCCCCCGCCCCTTCCGACCTCCAGCCTGGAGGGAACATTCTGGGCTCACTGGAGCCCTGGGGAGGTTCCTCTCATGACACGGGCTCTGCCACCTGCCTCGTCACCAGGACCCACGACAACATCCCAGAGGTAGGGGAGCCTTGGTCAGGGTCACAGAGGCTGGCAGGGGTAGCCACAGCCGAGCCCGGAAGTCCTGGGTCCCCAGCCCGGCTCCTGTAAAGCCTCAGCTGTCTTTCTTAGGAGTTGTAGCCCAGGACACCATAGTAAAAACTAGTGTCCCTAAAAGGCAAACTCTAGGCAGCAGGGAGGGCTCGTGACAGGTCATTTGCGGGGAGATGGAGGGCCGAGGGGTGCTCACTTCTCTCAGCCAGCATGAAACTGCCACACTCCTCTGAGAAGTCGCCAGAGCCATCCGTCACGTTGACAGTGAAAATGTCGTCAGCCAGGAAGTGGAACACGTCCATGTGGCACGTGTACGTGGCGTGTGTGGCATTGTGGCTGGACCGATGCAGGCTGCAGAAGGTGGCCTCATCCTGCAGTTCCAAGTCCGGGTCTTTCCTTGGGAGACAGAGAGGCCTGTCACAGCTGGAGGCCTATAGAGCTCAGGGCCAAGGGTGGGGAAGGCGCCCGGAGCTCAGGGCATCACCTGTCTGACCATCCCCCCTGCAGCTTTCCCTATGGATTCTGCCCAGCCTCAGTGTCTCCTGATACCCACGTGAACCTGTGCTGCAATCCAAATGAATTTCATCCCTTGCTCTGGGGAGAAACTTTGGGGAAGCTGGTGGCACAGAGTAGGGGAAAATGCTTTGGCCTTTCACTCTCATTGGGTAGAAATGATGGGGTTTTGAAGTATGTGTAGGAGTTCATGATCACCCTCCAGAACCAGTATGAATAATGTGTTAAGTTTGCTAGAGCAGAGGTTTTACTAAATAAAAACTCTCCCAGCATCCAGCCCAGACCTCAGATATAGCTTTGTGGGCATATCCCTACCTAGTCGCCCTTCCAGAAATCTACCTACCCCTCTCCTACAATAGCCAGGGAGGATGTGCCATCAGCTGCAGCCTCCCTCTTGCCTCCTTCGCTTGCTCCCCTGGCTCATTCTCCAGCTGCACAGCCCCTTGCTCCTCCCCAGTCCCAGCCACAGGCCTCTGCCTGCGCCGCCCACCCGCCTGTCCTGTCCTTCTCCAGCCCAGCAGCCACCACTTCCCACCCAGAGAGGCCAGACCTGACGTCCCCGCTGGCGAGACGCTCCCCAACCCTCCTCTGCCCACCCTGCCCTCCAATTTATGTTCTTTGTTTAGTGTCTGTCCCTGGCTGCTATCCCTCTGTGCCACGTCAGTCCCAAGACCTCCGGGACCTTGCAGGTCAGAGAGGAGAGATGGATGCATTTAGGGCCGGCAGATAGAAGGCAGCACCTTGGTCCCGGGCTGCAGGAGACTAAGAGGGACCTGTGGGCTTTGCACGTGGGCAGGCTGGGTGTAACTGCGCTCTACCACACGCTGGCTGCCTGAGCCAGGGCCTGGCTTCACCTCCCTGACCTTCAGGGTGCTCATCTGGAAAATGGGGGCAATAAGCTCGAGGGTTGGAAACGATCAATCTTTCATGTGAAGCACACAGTAGGGTGCCAAGAACCTACTAAGTGCTCAACAAGTCCTGTGTGAGTCCAGCTGTCCTGAGGCCACTGCGGGGCCAGGCCTGTGGCCTCTCTTGTGGTGGTCAGCCACAAGTGTCTGTGTCTGTGGTGAGGTGGGCACCATGGGTCCTGCGCGCAGAGCTGTTCCAGGCATGAGGTCCCAGGGGAGACCAGGAAGTGGCAGCCGCAGGTCTGCGGTTAAGCTCCGTGCAGCGCACGGGGCACTGCAGGTCCAGCTCAGCCCGTAGGCTCCTCATGTCCCCCGGTGGGTGAGGCCCAGCAGCTTACCAGGTAAGAGCGAGCACGCTGGGGTGCAAGCTCCACATCTCCACGACACAGGTGACCGTCTGGAGGTAGTCGGTATAGCAGTCGAAGTCTGGGCAGCACCAGCCTGGAGGCACAGGGAGAGAAGGGCCTGGCGAGCGGCTCCCGTCCCGGGGCAAACGCAGGGACCCTAAGACGAGGTCTGGGACACAAGGGGTTGCCTGGGAATGGTGAGTCCCACCGCTTCAAGGCGGGCTGCACAGGCCAGACTGTCCTATTGCATGGAATGGGATAAAGAAGCTGTCTCCACCAAGGAGCCCTCTCCAGGGCCCCAGATGTGGTTTCCAGGTCAGCGTGGCCCTCAGAGCCGCTCGGCCTGAGCAGATGCCAGGAGCCCGCAGCTTGTGCACACGCACTTTCCCAAGAGGGCCAGGACCCCGTGGGGTTCCCACGAGCAATGCTGGCAGCCTCTCCCCCACCCCCGAGCCTGGACAGGGAGGAGGTCCAGCTGGCGGTGGACAGCTCCCAGGACACTGGCTCTGGCTGGCGGGCAGCGCTTTCTAAAGGGAGAAAACCAGGAAGCCAGATGGGTCAGGGCCCGTTCTCCTCCCCCAAGTCAGCGCAGGCATTGGCTAATGGCCGGCCACGTTCCTCCACAGTGGCCTCAGAACTTGCCAACCCAGTGCCCAGTGGGCAGTTCTGTCAGAGTCTGCCTTGTGGAAGTGGGCCTTGATGTGGGGGTCAGCTTTCTTGGGGAGGCCACAGGCCCCTTGGTGGCACACAGGGTCACTATCTGAACACCTGGTAGAGAACAGAGGCCTGACTTTGGCAGATCCAAGCCCAGGGCTGCGTCACACCCTGTGACCGTGTCGTTTCCATTGGTCCCTAGGGTGCCAGCCACCAGGAAAGAGAGGCTGCCTTCCCCAGCTGGACTCGGGTTCCCCAGGGACAGTCTTGGTCCCCAGAGGTGCAATGCCCAGGGCCACCCATGGCTGTGGAAGCCAAGAGGCACCAAAGTGGCCATTGTGGCCCCAGCTTGGTGACAGAGGACACGAGACCCAAAGCGGCTCCTGTCCTTATTCGCTAAGGTGCCCTCAGAGCCAGGAGCACTTAGATGGGCCACACGTGTGCTGCGTCACTGCCTGTCTGCAGCCACCCCCAGCGCATGGCGCAGGCACGGGGAAGGACTCACTCAAGCTCCTCGCGGGAACGCGGGCATCACTGTGATCCAGCCGTACAGCAGGGGCCCTGGCATTTACTCTCGCTGGGCATGGAGCCAGGACAGTCCCAAAGTCTTTCCTGAGCTAAGCAGGGGAGCGGAGCGGGTCATTGCCACTCAGAGGGAAAAGAGAAACCGACACCTGCTTCCTGAAGGAGCTATTTGGGGCCCTGGTCTTTTGGTACAAAGCAGGGCCTATGCCTCTGACTCAGCAAAGCAGAGATTAAGTTCCCCTCTGCCTGGGGGGATGCTGCACATCCGGGAACTGCAGCTGCCTCTTCCAGGAAGGCCTCCCGGCATTGGGTCTGGGTCGCCCCTCTCCGTGGACTCCCAGCCTGTCTGGCTCTCGTCTCTAACTCCTTTCGAGCATCCAGGGATGTCTGAGACAGATCTCCCACTAGAGTTACTGCATGCGGAGAAACGGAAGCTAGAGCAAAGCCAGAGCTTAGCCCCCGGAGGATGGGGCGGGCCGGCCAAGATCCCACCTCTGGCCGATGCGGCACTCGTTGATGGAGACTTGGCCGTTGGGGCTGTACCAGTCGTAGGGGAGGTGGCAGATGTCAGGGTCTGGGCTGATACCCCTAGCCCAGCCCTTGCTCAGTTTTGTGGGAGGAAGAAACACACACGCACACATACACATGCGTGCACACAACACACGCGCACACCGGAGGCAGCTACTCACCATCCTGGAGCAGCGGCAGGAGCAGAGCCACGACCCAGCCACGAGGTTGCATGCTGAATGGCCGCTCCGGCAGGAGCCTGCGAGAGTGATGGGTGGGTTGGTGAGCCCAGCCCGCGGCCAGGGCCCTGGGCAGCCTCCTCCCACCCCACCCTTCCTGGAGGACCTGCTGCCAGTTCTAGCACTGGTCTCCCAGAAACCAGGCCTGAGGGCCTGTGGACCGCTGCAAGGTTTCCTGCGCTCAGAAACGTCCGGTTGCCACTGGATCCCTCCGCGCTCTCCCACGTGCTTCGGTCCCACTTTGAAGTCACAACGGGAGGCTCAAAGCTGTTCTGCGGTCCTCACTAAGCCTATGGCGTATAAAATCTACCATGTGCATTAATCTGCCTAGAATTACATGGGTGGGAGGCAGGGAAGAAGGGAGGGAGAAAGGACTGATGTGCAAAGCGGCATCCAGCAGGCAGCAATCTGCGTCCTCCAGGCCACGCGGCACTGCCCGGTATGCAGGCTCTTCATTCCAAATCCAAGTCTAGCCAATAAGGGACACCACTGTCGGATACTTGAGATCAGGTTAGCCCAAGAAGCGGCGCTTGACTCTATTTCTCAGCCCAGGCTACCCCTAGGGGAGCCAGTAGAAAATCCAGGCCAACCATACGGCGCAGCCTGGGGCCCCTCAGTTCTGACCAGCATGGAGCAAGACCGTCCGGGGCACCTGAATGACCAACTCTGGGCAAGCAGCCTTGGATGCCCGGGGCAGAGGCGCGACCCCCCCAGGCTGGCAGTGCCAGGCCCTCCTGGTACTGTACACGCTGTGCGCAGCAGCCCTGGCTCTGTTTGGGAAGGGCAGTCAGGCGGGCTGCGGAGGAGGCTGGAGAGGCTCCATGTGGGGACCGTGTCACGGGTGCCATCGGGAATCCTACAAGAAGACGACCCCTCGGCCAGGGTTCCCCAAATCCTACTGCAGTCTCACAACAGGTCTGTGTGATCGGCATAATAAAGCCACCAAAGAAGCAATGGGAAAAGGGGACACGGGCTGTGGGGCCAGAGCCTTCGCGTTAGCAGCCGAGAGGCTGGGGCGAGTGCCATTTCTGCTACTTGGAGGGACACTGGTCTCGTGTACCTGGGAGCCCTATGCTCCGGTCTGAATGTGTGCAGGGGTGCATCCCCCGATTCATGTGTCGCTGGAGGCAGCTAGGGTTAGGTGAGGTCAGAGTGTGGGGCGCCGTGATGGCACTGGTGGCTTTATGGGAAGAGGTGGGGAGGCCCTTGCCTGCCCGCTTGCTCTCTTTCGCCAGGCGGTGCCTCCCCCATGTACGGAGGCGGCAGGAGGCCCTCACCAGGCCCGAGCAGATGCCGCCACATGAGCCAGGAGCTCAGGGACTTCGGTATGGCAGCAGCGAGTGGACGAAGACACCCTGCTATTCATCCTGAAGAAGTGACCCTGCTCCTCACCAGCACGTCCCCCTATGTGTCCCCAGCCCAGGCCAGGACCCAGCAGAGCTCTGTCTGTGTCACTCCCAGCTGCCTCCATTGCTGCCACTGGAAGAAGCTTGACCCACGTTGCCACGATTGCAGGCTCCTCTTTCCTCCCAGTTCTTCACCGTGGCATTCCGGGGACGCTGAGAAGACCCTCACTGCCTATGTTTGCCTGGCACCCTTTATCCTTTCTTTTGAAGTGCTCTTTAAACCGAGGCCCATGTCTGTGCTTGGTGCACAGCGGACTCCACCCCCTGACCCATCTTAGCCAATCCAAAGACTCTACGTATCACACAGTGATTGGTTCAGGGCTGAACCAATCAGTGAAACAGTCCTGGATTCCCCCGCCCCTTTGGGGTAGCCATCGAAGTCCCCTCTTAGAGCCTGTTTTCAACAATGGAAATAGTGAGACCTAGAGATCAACGGAGTGCATGGAAGCATCTGAGGACCTGGATCCCGCCACACCTGATACCCACATTTGAACTTCCACTTCCACGAGTCCCCAAAACTCCAGAAGCAGCTATTGAACTGCACTGAATTATATCTGTTGCTTTCTATCAGAGATACCTGATAAAAGGGCCGGCCAAATAGCTCAGCGGATTAGAGCGCAGGGGCCAGGGGTTCGATCCCCCGCCCTGCTGTGCTGACCCCGCCCCCGGGGCGCGCTGAGATTGGCAGTTGAGACTGGGCGTGGTGGCGCACGCCTGTAATTCCTGCTCTTGGGAGGCTGTAAACAGGCCTTGGGAGGCTCGAGTCCGATCTACGCAGTGAGACCCTGAACACTCTGTAGACCTCTCTCTATAAAAAAAAAAAAAAAAAAATGATATTGGATAAGAGTGTAGAAAAGAACCAGTGGACCTTGGAGCCCGAATGGCGCTTCTCAGATGAGCTGCCGGTTCCCATCTCTGAACTGGGAACAGTGCTGTCTTGCACCTGGCAGCTAAGAATAGGCCGCAGGAGAGCAGATATGACAACGTTTCCTGGATTGCATGCAAAGTGCCAGACTCGGCCGGGAATCCTGCTATTACTGGCCAGCTGCCTCGAATGGCGCCCCACCCCCGCAGCACCCCACACGCCCGGTGACTCTGCCTTTGCTCAGTCCTCGCCTGGAGCAACTGTCCCCTTCCCATCCTTCAAACTCAGCTCTCCTGGCCCGCCTGCTCTGTCCCGGAAGCCCCGCTGGAATGTTCCAGAACTCTGGCCACTCATGCAGTCACCTTTAGGGCTTTCGGTGGTGCTGCTATCTACTTGCTGTTTATCTTACCTTGTCTCCTATTTATCACTGCAATAAACCTATTTCATAAGAAACTTGGGTATTGCGCCCATCCTAGATAACTAGGATGACACAGAGGCACTGGGCCCCACGCTGATCAAAATACAGACTGTTCAAAGCCCCACACTGCCACTGCCAGAGTGGGTGGCCACGGCAGGACACCTAAACTTCCTGGATCCCAAGGTCCTCCTCTGGACATAGGGATAAAAAAAAAAAAAAAAAAAAAAAAAAAAAAAAACCCAATACCATGCTCAGACGGCCCCTGGGATGATTCAATCAGTCCTATCCCTAAAGCAGTTAGAACGGTGCCTGGCACACAGTGAATATTATGCAAGTATTCCTTGAGCCATAAAACTAGATACAAGGAAATACAAGAGCTACATTTAGGAAGGCAAAAGACAGTCAGGTTAGCGAGACCCTACTACCTGCCTGGGAGCTGCAGCAGCTGGAGACGTGGTTCCCACGCCCCCCCCCCCATTGACCTCAGGCCCTCGCACTTGCCAGGGAAGCGCTTATTACACTAAGCCATCTCCCCAGCGCCTTGGTTTGTCAATGTGCAGAAGTGGGGAGGAGGAAGGAGCCTCAGAAAGGGTTTCAGACGCGCCGGCACCATGTCAGCAGACAGAGGTCCTCGCCCTGCCTCTTCAGAGCGTGTGGCTGCCCCAGCCGCATCACCCGGGAGCGGCGAGGGTGCGACTCCCACCGCTGCACGGCGGGCTCAGGGTCGGTTATCACCCCCAAGGTGAGCTGCTCACTTGCGGGAGACAACACCCTTGATGGCAGGGCTTGTCCATCCCGCCGTCCTCGCATGCCCCAGCCCCGAGGGGGGCCCCTGTCAGCCTCATTCCCAGCCCTTGAGGGCTCATCCCCTCAGGCAGACCGGACCCCAGTGTCTCTCCTGCAGGGAGAACAGAAGGGGACCCAGCGCCTCCGCTGTGGGAGCGCCGAGCCCTCTGCGCTTGAGCTCCGACGGAGGAGCAGGGCACACTGACTTGCAACCCGCCGGATCCCAGCCCTGTGTCCCTGGCCGAGAGTTACCTACCTCCTCCGAGTCTGTTTTCTCACTGGGGAAAAAAAATGAGTCTTGGCTGCAGGCGTGCAGTCAGCTCTGACGGCGCCGCCCCGCGGGAAGCCGGCGCTCGGCCGCCGCCGCCGCCACACCGAGGAGTGAGCTCCGGATAGCAGCAGCTCACGCTGAAAGCTGGCCGGATTTCAGGAGATTGGGGGAAGTGGAAGGCTTGGGGTTAGCCAACCGGGCCAAAGTAAGGGCTACATTGGGAACACGAAGTGCTGAACTTCGCAGCAGCGAAGAGAGGCATGCAAATCAAAACCACAGCCGCAGACCTTTGGAGTGTTATCAGATTGGCAAAAAATAGAAGTCTGGCTGTGTCTCAGGTGGAGCTGAGGATTGATCTCTGGGGGAGGGGGTCGCTCACACTCATAGCCAGAGGGCTGTAGGTGAAAGCCAGTCCACCGGAAAATGGCTCGGTGTGATCTAGTGCATGCAAGTGCATGCCTTCCTGGAGACGTGGCGACGCCGGCCCTGCACACACTGCGAGAGGAGCTTTGCACGTGCGTGCCAGAAGCGCACGCGGAGGTGTTTACGGCAGCATCGCTTCAGTAGAGGAAAACTGGAAACAAACGACACCCGGAGAATGGAAAACATAAACCGAGATGTGACGGTGTGGCGTGAGCTTGAATCATCCGCGGATGCGCACAGCAAAGCGAGTGACTGTCGCCGAGACCAGACGGGGTAAACAGAACAGCGCGCTAGAGAGGAGCGTGTGCGTAACAGCACCGCGCACGGGGCAATTCTAGGCGCAGAAAGCCCATCTGGGTATCAGTTAAGTGAGTATGCATACGGCAGAAAAGCACAAATAAATCAATGGAGTTCCTAAACATCAAGTTTAAGAAACAAGGGGGTATAAGAAGGAAGGGTAGGGGTGGGAGAGACAGCTCAGAGGTCTAAAGCCTGCCTGCTCAGGCAAGCTTAGGCAGGCGCAGGGGACCACGGTTTAATCCCCGGCACCACATGCTGCGCCAGCCCCACCCTCAGGGTGGGCTGAGCTGGCCAAAATAAATAAATAAACAAATAAATAAATAGTATATGATCTTAACGTGGTGAAATTATCATGGGTGTCAGATTATCATTATCATTATTGTTATTATTATTGCTATTGTTATTACTTTTAGAGAGGGCTACTAAGTGTCCAGGTTGGGCTCGAACTTGTGATCCTCTTGCCTCAACCTCCCAGAATGTGGGGATTTCAGGCGTGCGCCACCATCCCTGGTTACAGTCATATTATCATATCTGTCGTTTTAGATGCTCAA